GGGTGGGTCTTGCCTCACTTTCCTATACAATTCATATTTTGCTTATATTATTCCGTTACGAATTACAGATTGAAACAGGCATTTAATTTAATTAATTATTATTCATTTTCGATCACCTTCAGTTGCAATTCATTTCCATACCAGCAGTAGAAGAACACTTGAAACAGCATGCAGCCGAGGTACATAGTCAACGAGAGAAATTTGACGCTGAGAATCTTCTTCTGCGAAAAAAAACTTATCGTTAGGTCAGTACATTCACGCAGTACCGCGACACACGTAGCGAATTATACATATATTCAGTGATAGCGACACTTTCTTTTATCGATGATTTGCTATCTGCTATATTGGTATCTATTATTTTAAGTATTTATTTTTAATGTTATTTCAAATATTTTTCAATATTTAAAATAATGTTAACAGTTAAAAGAAACAAAATAAAATTAGATTAGGCCAATATCAAAAGAATTTGAGATGCCAATTGAATAATCGTAAGGATCATCGTAGGGATTTCAGTACGCGACCTTGGACATTTGGAAAATACTGGTGCACAAGGTGACCATGCTGAAAATGAATAAAATCGCCACGGTCCACACAAACAACGACTGTATCCTGCGCACGATCTCGTGTACGTATAAGTGATGTCTCACGCACTCGCTGATCATCGTGCCTTTGCTCGAATCGATTCGATATTGCTCTGGACGATCCTTGAAGATCTTCGACAGACGATAGCGCAGCAGCTCGATCTGCCCGCAGGCGTGAAGGGTGAAGCCGTAGACGAGGGAGTCGAACGAAACGTTCAACAGTACCCCGTAAAATATTGCGCCTACGTGCTGAAGGTAAGTCGCCAGGTACGGATATAAGCCGGATATCGAGTACGGCAGGTATGTCTTGACCGGCAGTGGTCTGTCGCTATTCTGAGGTCCCACAATAGGGGCGAGTATAAGAGCTATACAAGTAGCTTGAGATATACTCATGAAAGTTCGAACGCACCACTTGGCTGTGACAGACATAAATATTAAAAATATATTTTTTTCAATTTTATACATATCAAGTACATATTTTAGAAAAAGTATATCATAAAAAAAAAAAATAAAGTCACAGTCTAATATAATAAATGTCGTTGAAACATAGCGAAATATATTTTTCGAATTTAATTTAATACATTTTGAATTAAAATTGATATCAATGTACTCTATTATTGTCTATCAAAATTTTGATTGCATTGCTGTAGCAAAAGTATATTAAAAATTCGTATTATTAATAATTTCAGCTTTAAATATTATTTAAATTATTATTATTAAAATTCATCATTTGTACTAATTTCGTCAGAAAGAATATTACTGAATACCTTTGCGATCGTACTTAAGGAGGATCATCTTTTCTTCGGAATTCTTTGGCTGACACGTTTCGCTTCGAAAACAGTCCAGCAACATGGACACTTCGTTTTGTCGCGCTAAGAAATTTCCGTATTTAAAGCAAAATGCTACATAAGTTAACGCTAGGAAGAGTCCTTCAGTTATATCTTCTATATTGTCGTGCGTCCTTACAAGCTCGATTACTTCCAATATCGTAAACTCGTATAATAATGTAACGATGGCATACCTGGAAATTCTATTATATCTTAATATCTTAATAATTTTAATTACATCTTAATTAAGTAGAAATATCCAACAATGTCTGATCGTAAAATCTTAAATGAAACAAAATGAATTGTCTGAGCCTAAAGTAGAAATTAAGTAAAAACAGATTTTCCATGCATGCAGTCAGATAATGTAATCAGATTACAATTTTTTCACATTAATATTTTATTAAATATAAACTATGTAGCCGCAAAATAATTATCTCAATAAAAATCTCATTAACAAATTAATTTTTCAATAATGAGAACAAAAAGAGAAAAATTAACTGCATATATATAAGGATTCGAATATATAATATATACAACATACAGATTTATATCTGCAATAGAGGCATGATGTAGATAGAAAAGTATCGTACAATACCTGTAGCACAAACTTAAGCAACGAACGAAAAGATTATTATCCTTCTCTTCGCTCCATGCACCGCAGAACCAGAAAACTCGGAAATTTAATGGCAATATATCCATAATTCCGGGACGGCGCCGCTCCGATGGATAGTCTCCCTCTTTTCATATATCGCTATGCTTTGAAAAATATGAAGCTTGTAAAAAAAATGTATAACGACACATTCTATACATTGTCGACGTCTCGTGAATTAGTAATGACATCGCTGGGACGTTCCTAAGCGTTCTTTAACATTTAATGTCGTCGGGCAGCGGGAGAATTTGCTGATTTTCTTTCTCCGCTACATTTTCTTCTTATTGTCTCTGTATTCATTTTTACATGTTCATCAGACGTCCGCGATGACATTACCAGTCATTTTTTAAATTATGAACTTACGTAATGTGTGCACTTATATGTAATATCAAATGCACGAAGAAATATATACTGAGAGTGAGGGATATTAAAACATTACTACTATTGCTGTGTGTATGTGACAGGTTCTTTTTCAAACGTCGCTCAAGAAACCTGCGACGAGCACTACAAGCAGCTGGAAATTTTGTGAGGAGAATATATATAAGTCTGTTTTCTATTGCCGCTGAGCTAGTGCACACTGGTGCAATAAGTTAGAGTGGAATAAGTATATTTTGTTTCACTCTAACTTACTGCACTAGTTCAGTAGTGCGGCAATAGAAAATAATAATAAGTCGTGAATCTGCAAAAGCGCGCCGAATAAACTGCAAGTATATTTTCAGTTTTGCAATTATTTTTAGAGAGTGAAAAGGTTGAAGAAGAACACAACGGCGATAATCCACATAAATAACGATTGTATTTTGTGCACGATGTTGTACAACGAAACGTGATGCCTCACGCATTCCGCGAATTTCTCGATGGCGACGTAATTATTTTTATATCACATGTGCGTGGAAAGTGGCCCATTACGCGCGTGTCACGCTAAAATAGGATGCGTAACACGTGCGGGTTGAAAATTGGACACTCGTGCGGGTGATCGTTTTCGGCTCGTGCGTCCACTCCGCACGTCCAATTTTCAACTTACCGCACTTGTTACACAAATAACTATTTTCTTCTCTCCGTTATTCTCCTGGTTTGCATAATGAGAGCGTTAAACGTGGGGAATCAAGAGTGACGTTCAATAATATTCTGTAAAACAAAGCTGCAGCTTGCTCGAGATAGGTCAACAAGGAAGTGATTCTGCTACGGTACGGAGTACGGTACGTACATCTTCAACGACAACTACCTTTCGTTCTCACTCATCAAAGGTATTATAAGTAAACCCGACATTTGCGAACGGAGCATGAAGGCACAGATGGTGTTTGCAATAGAGTTTGCAAAATAATTAGGTTCTATATGGAGATGTACGGCCGATTACAATTATATTTATTTCATAAGGTAGTTATTATACTTTACCAAGAAATCTTTTATCATAAGTAATTAACCAAAGAAACAAGACTATACAGGCAAACGGAGAAAAATTTAGCTAGCGCAGCAAAAAAAAAATTTACTTAGTAGATTTGTTTATAGAGACGTTAACCTGCTGTCAAAGCAAACAATTCATCGTAACAAATCGCATTTCGCCTTTGCAATAAAATTATCGCTGGTAGAATGTTGGTATAAGAATAAAGGAAATTAAAAAAAATAGATAAAGAAGAAACTGAATAAATTTGTTATTTACCAAAGCTCTCCTATTTTCCAAGAAATAAAATTAACAAATCCTTCTTAACAAATATGTTTGCTGTCCGTATAATAATTAACAAAACTTGCTACGTAGTTACCCAGTAAGCAAGAAACATTTCAACTATATTGTATTAATGTTAAAACGTTGCTATAATGTAGTTAAAATGTTTCTTGGTGTTTCTTGCTTACTGGGTAACTATTTATTATACCGTCAAATCTTTTTTTCACAAACTATATAAATATTTATCTCTATATTCGCAAGTACATTAATTTTTTTTAACAAAAGATTTTAATTATTAATATTTTATATCCCAGCTGAAATTTTCGAGTCCTTGATGTGCCTTTAGGAGCAATAAAATACCTTTGGGATTGCATCGTCTCAGTATCGATTCCTGCGTTGAATCTCTTGGCTGACATAGCTTTGCGCGAAAACAATTTAGCAAGTCACGTAATTTGCAATGTCGTACCAAAATGTTGAAATACTTTAGGCACATGCTCACGAAAGTTAAGACGAGAATAGACCTTCCGTTAAATCCTCCACATCGATCGTTTCTCATACGTACAAGCTCGATTGTCTCAAATATCGTAAGTAATATAGTACAGCAGCGATTTTATACCTATTAAAATTATATAAAAGAGAAGAAGAATGTGCATTGCACATATTATAGTTTTTAAAAATTTTTATCACTTAATTAACGAGTACTATTTCCACATATAATTTTCAATTTTAATGTATTAACGATAAAATGTTTTTAACAAAATTACTAGGTCTATTTTAGCTTAACGTTAAAATTATTTTATCTGTAGCAGAAACTGACAAAGCGCGGCGTGAAGTCAAGTTGCTGTTCTAACGTTCTTTCCATACACACCGCAGAAACGAAGAACGTAAAAGTGCACCGGCAATAAGTTTATATTTAAATATTTTTATCGTAGAGCGTTTAACGTAACAGCAAATCTTCCCTCGACGATCGCAAAGCATAGTATGTCGTCTGTTCAGAGCTGCTGGAGACATTCCCGACGACAATGTTCTTGGATTAATAACAATATCTGTCTATAAATACAGGTATTGTTAGAGAGGGTGCATTATCTTTTAATACTGTCCATCAGAACAAAACATACGGACTTCTCCCATTACTGTTCGCATTCTTACTCTTGATTTTATATTCTCATGAGCTGATGTAACCCGATGGCAAAATGTCGTGTGAGTCTTCAATGCCAACAAGTTATCACTTATTTGAAAAAGATTCCTTCTACACTACATTAAGTACCTTATAAATATTGAAACCGTAAAGTGTGACTAACGTAAAATAAAATCGTAAAACAGGAATTTGTAAAATTATGGGTTTATTGCGAGGAATATTTTATTCTTGAGGCACACCATTCAATTATTTTACTAAGGAAACAATTAAGAGAAAATTGCTTCGGTAAAAATTTCTTCGAAGAATCTCTCAAAAGTGAAAAATATTAACCATCTTCATTTCTAGGCCTTTGGCCTTTTTACATTACTGGATTACACAATTAATTTAAACTATATATGTTTTAACTATAATTGATAGGTTCATTGAACTCATAGGACTAATGTATTCTCGCATCCAAACAAAGAATAAGTTTTTTAACATCTTTTTTTAATCATCAACTTAAATTGTTGCGTTTATCGAGGTTATTTTGATAAACATCGTTTATTTAGTATTTTTTGGCAGGCTTGCAAGTTTTACAGTTACGAGCTGATATCATTTTAGCCATAAACCCACGGAAGAATATGCACACGGATAGCTAAGATCTTAATATATTCGAAAAAGAATAGGCGTTGAAAAAAGACCGGAACGTCTTTGCTTCTTATAAAAATTTTAATTTTCGCAAAACAGAAAAGATTTTAAAAAGGCGAAAATATTTAGAAAGAAATTTTTTTTTTAGAAAGAAAAACTTTTTTATAGAAAAGAATATTCTTCTTAAAAGCGAAATTGGGTAAAAGACTTTAGAAGGCCTTCACCCTCCAATTTTAATAAAATTTTACAGGTAGTAGTATGTAGTTTAGAACCATTAGTGAGGAGTTGTGGAAATACTTATTTTT